TATATATATGGTAAATTACAACCACCCTTGAGGTATGGTCAATTTATAAAAAAAACCCTCTTCTTTGGATAATTACATATTTAAATCTACTCCTCAACTATGAGTTTTTCTTACACCTTCACCTTTATGGTGTCAAATTCAACACAACCATCTAGATTTCGTGGAATGTGTTAAGTATTGAGCCCACATAAAAATGATCTGTTGTGATCTGGGCCAATAGCTAAATTAATTAAAAGCCCAACTTGTGAAATCGGGCCCAGCATTACTTAAGCCCACTGATCAATCAAACATATATCTGAACCGTCGGATCGAGGGCTTCAATCTGAGCCCTCCATTTGCCTCATTATTCTTACCTCTCTCAACCCTAGCAGCATTCTTCTGCTGCGCCGTTTCTCTCTCTACAGTGTATCGTCACCCCTTGTCGTTTTCCGGCGACACCGTCGCAGGTCTGGTCGGACAATGGGTGTCCTTACCGTCGCAGCACATTTAATGCTGAAGACCGTTGAAACTCCGTGTATTTATACTGTGGTGAGAGAGAGAGACAAGTGTGATTCACCTTTTATTCAAACCTTTTCATTTCTGGTCTTAATCCTCTTCTGTGAGGGTTTCGGCTTTGTGTTTGCAGAAATCTGGGTTTGTGCTGAGTGGAGAGGGTGAGTTATCACCGAGTTGACTGTGCATGTGTTGGTGAGTCAACTCGGAGTGAGGCTTGGGGTCAGATCTAGGGTTCCGATCAGTGGCAGTTGCTTGGTGCTTGTTTTCGGTTGGTGTTACCACCAGACCTTGGATCTACAGTATGAACACTGGAAAAGGGAACTGAGCCGTTCTTATTTCAATACTCTTTTTATTGTGTTCATTTCCTTGTGTTATCTAACTGTTTTTCCGATCTATGGCTGTTATTCGAAGAACCAGTACCTAACAGAATGTGCTCTAGTTTGTACTCGTTTTGTGTAAAAAAACAGTTTCTGATGCACCACAATCTGATATATATAAGCCAAAAAACACATATTATGATCATATTACTTCAAAATGTGGAGTTCGAATGTGATAGAACGAGTATAAAAGTGATAATATAATATTCCATATAATCTCGAAAATTCCACTAAATTTGAAACTACAAAGGTGGACGTGTGTAAGAAGAATTATAGTTGAGGGGTGATTGTAATTACTCAAACTAAAAGGGAGTTTTCGTAATTTGACAATACCTCACGTGTGGTTGTAATTTACCCCATATATATATATAACCACCTTCCAAGCTAAGTCTTCTCATCTTGTTCTTTCTTTAGTATTAGTAGCACCTACTTCAAAACAGAAGTTTCTTCAAATTCTATATATATATATATATATATATATATATACACGTACTCTCTAACAAAATAGAGAGAGAGAGAGAGAGAGAGAGAGAGAGAGAGAGATGAACGAGATACGTGAAGTGGCAGAGGCTTACTATGCAAGAGCAACAGTAGACGAGAAAAACTCGGCCCTGGATTTTTTCCGATCACTGGACGACAACAACGACGGCACGATCAGCCATGCGGAGTTCCGGAAACTAGTGGATCCATCTTTATCTACCGACAAACTGTTCAAGGAGCTCGACAAAAACAACGACGGCACACTTGATTTCAACGAGGTCCTGGCCCTCTACTACATCCAGAAATGCGGCGCGCGTTTGTGCGACGTGTGCCGCGATATCCTGCTTACGTCGTACTTCTCTTGCCTCCTCTGCGAGAAGCACCTCCCGTATTCCTTCGACCTCTGCTGCGGCTGCTACGGCGGTGGGGCGTTCGAGCACCGTCACCCGCCGTCCAAATTCATCGACAACCGTTCGATACGGCTGCTGCTTGATAAGATCATGAAACACGCCGAAGTTAGCGAATCCGGTGACGATGTTAAATTAGTAATTATATTACATTAATATGTCATTTAATTTATTTTGTGTGCAATGTATATGTATCATAATTAATTAATTAATTCAATATGTATGGACTATATATATTTTGACACTCTGATCAAATTCGAATAGGTAAGGTTGCACAATTCCCAACGATCAATCGTTCGATCTCAATCGACAAAGGTGAGCTTTTGTAGACCCCGTTTAGTTTGAAGCATTCGGGTGAATATATCATTTTACTCGATCGATCGGCTTTATAATTAATATATTATTAATTTCTCGATATGATCCGATGATGATGATTAGGTGACGGCAAAGGAACTTTTCGACGCGTTTGGTAACGGTGTAAAGATTGGCAATGCCGCAGTTCACATTGGCAATTTCGCAGTCGTCGCCGGCTGTTGCATCATGTAGTAATCGTCTTCGTTTTTAAGTTGAGACGACGACAATTTAATTACCTGCTATGTTTGGTTTGTTATTAATTAAGTTTTATTTTAAATTTGTTTGGACAGAGGTTATGTTATTTAAGATGAATAAATGGAGGGAAGATATATATATATATATATATATAGGGGTGTAAACGAGCCGAGCCGACTCGTGAGCTCGAAGAGCCGGCTCGTAAAAAGCTCGAACTCGAACTCGAGATTTTCGAGCTCGAGCTCGAGCTCGCGAGCTCGAGCTTTCTGACGAGCCGAGCTCGAGCTGGTTTTCAGTTGTTCATGAGCTCGCGAGCCGGCTCGCGAGCCGGATTTATTATTATTTTTTTATTTTTATTTTTATTTTTTATATGTTATTTTTATTTATATAATGTATAATAATGTAAAATATTATAGAAATAAATACAAATATTAAAAATATATATAATTACAATTTTGTTTTTATTTTTTATTTTTTTAAATAATTTTTAATAATAAAATAATAATTAAAAAAATATAAAAAAAAAAAAAAAAAAAAAAGACACTGGGCTCGAGCTCGAGCTCGAGCTCGACAAAATTGACACGAGCTCGAGCTCGAGCCAAAAACAGAGGAGCTCGCGAGCTCGAGCTCGAGCTCGAGCTCGACAAAATAAACTCGAGCTCGAGCTCGAGCCAGCCAAAAGAGGCGAGCTCGGCTCGAGCTCGGCTCGTTTACGCCCCTATATATATATATATATATATATATATATATATATAGTCTGTAATATATATGCATTTATCAGATCATGTAGGGTTTGGGATAAGTGTGCTGTATCCAGTGGCGAGTCCAGGAATTCGGTACAGGGGGGGCTTCAATTTTTGGGGGTTCGGGGGCAGCGCTCCCGAGATTTTTTTAGGATTTTTTTGAAAATAGGAAAAGGAGAAACGAAAAAAAAGAAAGAAAAAAACAAAATTTAGAGTTTTTTTTGTATTAATTTGGATTTTGGGTGGGCTAATTAATAAAATTTGGGACTTTTTTGTATTAATTTGAATTTTAGGCAGGCTAATTAATAAAGGGATTTGCTTTTTACCGTTTGAAAAAGGCTATTTACCGTTCAAAAAAACTCTCTCTCTCTCTCTCTAAAAAAAATTGCTCTCAAGACGATTTCTTCACAAATCATTCTTATTGGTGTGATATACGAACATAAATGAGTTCATCGGATGAAGATCGAGATAGCGAACACAGCGAGGTAAAAATTCCGTGTTTTCGATCGAAAAAAATGGACTAAACATTCAAAAGCCCAACATGGGCGCCCGACAGTGCAGTGCACGCCCATGTTGGGCGTGCAGTTGGCTGTTACACGCGCATTATGGGCGTTTGTAGGCCAACTGCACGCCCAATATGGGCGTGCACTGCACTGCCGGGCGCCCGACTTGGGCTTTTGAATTTTAAACCTTTTTTTTTTTTTTTTTAAATCAATTTTTTTACGTTTTTTTCAGGACGATACGACTACATTTGAAGTTGATCATACCGATTATTTTACCACTACTCAGTTGTTTGACTCGAAGGATGAGGTAGTGGTTTGGGTGAGGTTCGTTGCAAGAGGTCTTTTTGTGAAAATAGTAAAAAGCAGCAGTCCTAAAAAAAAGATTTTTTTGACTTGTGACCTATTCGGGGAAAAACGAGAATGTCCATCAACTAATCCAGACGCGCGTCCGAGAAGGACCGGTAGCAAAAAAATAGGTTGTGGTTTTCATATTGTCGGAGAACTACGATGGGATGATAGATGGGGGGTCAGAGTAATATACGGGAAGCATAATCATGTTCCGATATACAAGTCCGGGCATGGGATGAGTGCATTGTCTCAGGAGGAGGCGAAGATCATTAGTGATCTGTCACAAAGTCATGTGCCGCCCAAGAAGATTTTGGCTAACTTGAGACAAAATGGTTTGGGTCTCGATGCTTATTCGAAACAAATATACAATGAGAAGGCGAAATTGAAAAGACTATCTAGGGGTGACCGTACAGTGATGCAACATTTGATTGGGTTGCTTGAGGAGCATAACTATTACAAGTGGTTCCGTACTGATGAAACAACACATGCAGTTACTGATTTGATGTGGGCTCACCCTCAATCTGTCGAATTGTTAAGTAAGTTTCCGTACGTATTACTACTTGACAGTACTTACAAAACCAATCAGTACAAATTGCCTTTGTTGGAGATTGTTGGTGTTACTCCTGTCGGGAAAATTTTTACTGTAGCAGTCGCATTTTTGCGCCATGAAAATGAAGACCATTACACATGGGTGTTGC